AAGCGATTACCATCCTTTAGGCTTTGTTTAATTTTCAGGGGCCAAACTGATGATTTAAATAGAGATTGGATGGGGTCCGTTATCCTGGAATTCTTTAGATTCATTAGAGTGATACTTATTTCTGCCTCCTACTCTCTTGGGAATGTAATAGTATTTTAAAATTTATTGTATTATCCAGAGGATAACAGTTCCAGAGGCTTCTATTGTGATAATCAAGGACAAAATGTGGTAGAGTATTGTGCCATTTGCCAACTGTGTTTATTCCAGTTATACATCCAGGGACTGAAGACATGATCACTGGGTGAGTCTGTGACCCATGGACCCATTTTGATCTGGACCTGTTCAGGATGCCATTTATTTTCTTATCTCCAGAAAGATGGAGTTTTAGGAGGGATGTCTTTGACAAGTAAATGAAACTGCTAGATAACTTGGTGTATTAGAAAGTGTTGAGAAGAGATGTACACATCTGACAAAGAGTTGGGGATGAAATAGGAGATATACAGAAAATGAAGCAAAAAAATGAAAGATTGACTTGTGGGGAAAATAAAAAGTTGTTTAAGAGTGAAAATATAATCATAGTTTATATTTGTATGGATTGTCTGTGAATAATATCGTATAATAAAAACTGAATATTAGCTGGGTGCAGTGGCACATGCCTGTTGCCCCAGCTAATCAGGAGGCTGAGGCGGGAGCATTGCTTGAGCTCAGGAGTTCAAGGCTAGCCTAGGCAACATGGTAAGACCCTGTCTCTAAAACACAAACCAGACACTGAATATTGATCCAAACAAAATTATGATATAAACATACACGGAGGGTGGAGGGAGGGGAAGTATGTGTGTGTATGCCTAAGAGCTAAATCTTCATCTTCTAAAGAAGGAAGTCAGGTACATTTTCTGAACCTAAGAACTAAGCATGCTAGTTAGAATAAGGAGATAAATACAAAAAGAATATCTTTCTAGCTTTATTTAGAAATAAAAGTGCTTACCTCTGTGATTCTAGAATAAACATTGGGAAGATAGGGAGCAGGGGATTTTTTTTTGTGATAAGCCTTGTTGGATTATTTTTACTTTTGAGCTTTGCACATGTACATATTTAGTTAAAAATAAGAAAAAACCCGAATTACAATAGTACAGAAATTAAATGACACATAAATTAGTGAGTCAGGGATAAATGTTCAAAAAATATCTAGGAAAATTGGTATGTGGAAATATACTTGGAAATGTTTGGAAAATATGGTATATGGGAAAAATTAAATTAGATGCCTAAAACATATGCAAAAATAAGTTCCAAATAGATTGAAGACCAAAATAGTAAAAGCTAAACTGTAAAACCTTTACAAGAAAATTAGATTCTTTTCAAAATATTGAGTTACAGAATAAAAGGCACAAATAATAATGAAAACAATAAATTTGACCAGGTTGATGGACAAACTTTCTGTAAAATAAGATTCCATAAAGCATATGAAAAGAGAAGCCACAGCATGGGAGAACATATGGTAATGCATATAAATAGCAAAGGATTAGTGTCCAGAATATTTAATCAAGAATTCTTTAAATTATTAAGAAAAAGAAAAAAAGCAAATATAAAAATGTACAAAGACTTGAACAGTGATTTCACAGAAGGGTAAAACAAATAACTATAAATGTGAAAAGATGCTTGGAGTCACCAGTAACTGGAAAAATGCAAAATAAATCCATTCTTCAGATTGGTAAAAATTAAAAAAGTCTAAGAGAACTACATTACATGTTGCAGAGAATATGAAACAAGAGGAATGGTCATGCACAGCTGATATGAGTTTAAGTCAATACAACTGTTAATACTTTGGGGAGCAAATTGGCAAAATCTAGTAAAATTGAAGTTGTGCTTTTCTTAAAATTAGTAATTTTTCCCTTAGAAATCTACCTATAGAAACTCTCAAAATGTGCACAAGATGTGTATAACAGTGACTACACCAACATGACTTGTAATAGGAAAAATCTGAAAAAAAGGCTACGTGACCATTAACAGCTTAATGGATAAGTATTTGGTGTAGTTATAAAATGGAATGCTCTAGCATGGTTAAAATGAACACATAGTATCACATAAATCTATAAATTTAAATGAGTTGTTGAATTGACATTTTTCCAAATAAGATATACAAATGTCCAATAAGCACATGAAAAGATGCTCAACATTGCTGATCATTAAGGAAGTGTAAATCAAAACCACAATGAGAAGCTACTTCACAACAATTATGATGGCTATTGCCAAAAAACAAAAAATAACAAGTGTTGGCGAGGATGTGGAGAAATTGGAATCCTTGTGCATTGCTGGTAGAAATGCACAATGGTGCAGCCACTGTGGAAAACAGTATGGTAGTTCCTCAAAAATTAAACATAGAATTACCATATGATTCAGCAGTATCATTTCTGTGTGTATACAAATGAATTGAAGGCAGAGACATGAACAAATATTTGTGCACCCCTGTTCATAGAAGCATTAATCAAAATAGCCAAAAGACAGAAGCAACCCAGTTGTCTATAAACAGATGAATATATAAACAAAATGTGGTTTATATATACAATGGAATATTATTAGACCATGAAAAGGAAAGATATTATGACACATGCTATAGCATGAATGAACCTTGTGGACATTATGCTAAGGGAATAAGTCAGTCACAAAAGGACAAATATTGTATGATTCCATTCATATGAGGTATTTAGAGTAGTCAAATTTGTAGAGATAGAAGGTAGAGTGATGGTTGACGGGGGCTGAGAGAAGAGAAGAATGGGGAGTTATTGTTTAATGGGCACAGAATTTCAGTTTTGCAAGATGAGGAAAGTTCTGAAGTTGGATGATGGTGATGGTTGCCGGTAGTGTGAATGTATTTAATGTCACTGAACTATGTACTTAAAAATGATTAAAATGATAAAAAAAAAAAACCCAAAGCAAAAAACAAAAACAAAAAATTGGTTGAACAAAATAAGCAAGTTGCAGAATGATCCATATGCTATGATACCATTTATAATAGTATAAAGTTTTACAACTTATGAAAAAAACCTATGTATATATCATAAGCAAAGAAACATTCAAAAGCAAATATGGGGTAGTGGTTGTTTCCAATGCTTCCAAAGAAGGAAGAAATAAAGAAACTTGAATTGGGGAGGGAGTACTCAGGGAATTTTAATCATATCTGTAAAGTTTTCTTTCTTTAAAAAATCCCTAGTAAATACGGTAAAATACTGGCTTTGACAAATCTGGTAATAGTCCATAGGTGTTTGTAATGCCTTCCTTTAGACTATTATATGTGCTGAAAAAATTTCATCTTTCTTCGAAAACAGAGTGGCTTATAGAATTAGAAGAAATCTTCAAAAAGCCCAATTTTTAGTTCATGCCTGTTTTTATTCTCTCACTTCCTTTTCCTGACTCACTTCTTAAATCGTTGTTTTGAGTATTTTTTATAGTTCTCATCTTTTCTTCCCTCCTTCTGCCTACTTGTGTTGGATGCTGGTCCAAATTATTTACCCTTTAGCCCTAGGAAGACTCAGGTTATTAGGTCACTGTCTTTTCTGGACTCCAGTTATCCCAAGATGATCTAGAAGAGTCTTCCTCTTTGGATATTGGTTTCTGGAAGTCCTACTCTTTCATCTAGCTCTCTTTTCTGTTTAATCTCCTTGAAGCATATTTGGTTTTCTGTAATCCTGTTGTTAGAATAATATAATCAAGGCAAAATTTATTAATCAGTGGCCATGTGTGTGTTGTGGGGAGTTATGTATTGGGTTGGGTGTGATGATTGAAATCTCTATCTGCCCTAACTCATTAGCTGACTCTAACATTTCCATCTTTTTCTTTTTCAAAACCTGTGCCCTTTATAGATCACCTCTCCTCCCCAAGTAGGAATAATCTTTCAGAATCCCATCAATATATTTTTATAATATAAAAAATTCATAATCCTAAATTATGGAAAAACAAAGGTAATCAAATGGACCTTACACAAATTGCTTAACTTCCTGTAGGTCTAATTTTTGACTTCTAACATAGGTTAATACCTGCTCAATCAACTTCACTGGACTCTTATGAAGACCATTTTAAGTTAAGCAGACAAAAGCACTTTGGAAATTTTATATCACTACCCACTTGTAATACATATTTCTTAAATTATCTCTAACATGTAAAATTGGCAGACTATTAATCTTCATGTATATGCCTCTGTAATAGCATTTCCTAAAATGTGATCTTCAAAGCATTGACTCTTGGGATGCTAATATATATTATGTAAAAAGTGCTTCTTTGGACAAAACATTGGGAAAACACTGTGTTAAATAAAGTTAAGTTAGGTTTCTGTACCTTTGTATTCTCTCTTTTTTGAGACTATTTAATAATAGGCAAATATACGTTGTGAACTAAAGAGAGAGATTATCCACACTAAGGAACACCTTTTTGGGGAGGGATTTGTGTTCCTTGGAATATACTTTGGAAAATACAAGTCAAGATGTATTTTGTCATTCTGCCTTTCAGCTTCATTTTCTAAACTATGATTTTTATTTTTATAATTCCTTTGATCTTCACTAGGAAGAATATTGAATTAAAACCAGATTTTTCTTATTAGTGTTATAGACACGATTACTTAAATAGGAAAACAATAATTCATTATAACTTCAGCTTTTACAATTAACTTTATTTAAGTTTATTTTCTTGTTCCATATGGCTTCTATACTACCTAAAGTAATTGATTTATTTTTAAAAATCTTGTTATACCTATGACCTTTTATTAAATACCAAGGCTTCCCTTTCGGTGTGACATGTCTAAGAAGAAGAAATCTAAAACACTGTCCTATGAGTGTCCCTAGTCACTTATTGTCGAATTATTTGAAATCTCAAAATCTATGCTAGTATATATGTCAATTTTAAGGTTATATTGAAATGATCCACCTTTTTCCTAACTGTTTTCCTTTCCATAGTTTTTATATAGCTCATGGATTATGTTTTTCACTTTTTTTTTTTATTTTTTATTTCAGGGTATTGTGAGGGTACAAACATTATGGTTACACTTTATGTCTTTGCCTCACCCAAGCGAGGGTTAGAGGCATGCCCTTCCCCCCTACAATGCTCCCTGTGTCCTTTAGTTGCGGGTTTACCCCCCTCATCCTCTTCACTTTTTATGTACGTTTTGCAATTGAAATCATTCCTCTCTGCGTAAAAAAGCTTTTCTTTTGAAATATCAAATAATTAATGTGATTTAAATGTTTTATTTTGATGATTCCATTTTCAGGCATCCTTTCAGTGAATAGTCTATATACCATTTACTTTTGTATGCATACATGTAACATTTGATTTAGTATTGAACTTTCCAATAAGTATGCCCTATTTGACTTTGATGCGTTTTACTGTTTGAACCTTGGTATGTTTAATAAAAAGATCTGTCATTGAAATTATCTTCCAATATAAAGTACACCTAATTTCATTCCTTTCTTTTCCTTTATTCTCATACACTTAA